GCACCTTCCAAGTCCTCCCAAACCCCCTCTCTATCCTTCTCCTCCTTTGAGGCCCACTGAATCCGGCTATTCTCTCCTACCCCCCTGAGGATTGCAGTAATCAATCGGCCTCCTGGACCCATATCCCGCTTCCTCGACGATTTCTCCGCCTGGTTACCCTTCTTCCTCTCCTCAGAGCTACCCTCCATCATCCTTGGAGACTTCAATATCACTATCAACGTCAATAACACGGCTACATACCAACTCCTCCACCTAACCTCTTCTTTTGCGCTCACACAGTGTACACAGTCCTCAACCCTCTCCGGCGGGAACACCCTGGACCTTGTTTTTCCCATCTCTGCACCCCCCACTACCTCACAAACGCCCCTTTCCCTCTCTCTGACCACAACCTCATTACATTCTCCGTCTCCCGGTCCTCAAACACCTCCCCCCCCAAACGTCAAACCATCACCAGTCGTAACCTCCGCAACCTGAACTCTGCCCTTCTCCACTCTGCAGCTGACCGACTCTACGACAGTATCCTTACACTGTCCTGCCCTGACCTGGCCACTACTGCTTATAACAACTAGCTGTCAGCCGCCCTAGACTCCTTAGCACCCCTAACCACACGTAGCATTAGACCCCGACCGTTTCAAGCCTGGCAGAACGACCACACCAAAAATCTTAAATGACGCAGTCGTGCGCTGGAGCGACTATGGCGCAAAACCAGATCCCAACAAGTATTCACCATATAAAAATCTGCCTTCCTCACCTACACCTCCTCCCTCCACGATGCCAAACAAGCCTACTTCATAACCCTCATCAATAACCTCTCCTCCAGTCCTCGCCGGCTCTCGTCTACTTTTAACTCCCTACTCTCCCCCCCCCTCCACCCAGTACCTCACTCACTGCCCACGAGATTGCCAACCACTTCCAAAACAAGATCGACGCAATTCGTAGGGACATCGCCAATGTTCAGACTTCCACCCCACCTAGCCTCCCTCCCATGATAACCCCCTCAACACTCCCCTCCTCTGACCTCGCAACTGCCCAGACCCCCACCACACCTAACATCCCGCACACTAAAACCCCCCCAACACTCCACTTTTTCGACCTTGCTACCACTGAAGAGGTCACTAAGGTCTTCTCCGAATCCCGCCTCACCATCTGCCCCCTTGACCCTGTCCCCACACAACTTCTACAGTCACCCTCCTCCTCCATCCTACGCTCCCTCACTCACATCTTCAATCTCTCCCTCTCTACTGGTACATTCCCTTCCCCCCTAAAGCACGCGCACATCACTCCCATACTCAAAAAAACCCTCCCTGGACCCCACCGACCTGAACAACCTTAGACCCATCTCCCTGCTGCCATTTACATCCAAACTCCTCGAGCGCTTAGTCTATAATCGCCTAAGCTCCCACCTCAACGACAACAACCTTGATCCCCTACAGTCTGGGTTCCGTCCCCTACACTCCACCGAAACCGCCCTACTCAAACTCACCAACGACCTGCTAACGGCCAAAGCTAATGGCCACTACTCAGTGCTCCTTCTCCTCGACCTCTCCACGGCCTTCGACACAGTTGACCACCCCCTTCTCCTTAAAAAAACTATACTCCCTTGGCCTCAGAGACTCTGCTCTCTCCTGGCTCTCCTCCTATCTATCCCAGCGCTCCTTCAATGTTACCTATAACGCTGCCACCTCCCCCTCTCTGTTGGGGTCCCCCAAGGCTCTGTGCTCGGGCCCCTTCTCTTCTCCATCTACACCTCCTCCCTTGGCTAACTGATACACTCCCACGGCTTCACCTCTACGCCGACGACACGCAAATCTACCTCTCTACACCTCGCCTCACCCCTTCATTCTCTGCCCGAATCACCCGCCTGCTGAACGACATATCAGATTGGATGCCACTCCACTTCCTCAAACTAAACCTTTCCAAAACCGAGCTCCTAGTTTTTCCCCCCAGCCTGCCCCCCCCCCCCACCTCTCCATCACGACCAATAACGCCATCATCAGTCCCACCCCGCAAGCCAAAGTTCTAGGTGTCACTCTAGACTCCAATCTGTCCTTCCAGCCCCATGTCCAATCGCTGGCAAATTAATGCAGGCTCCACCTCCGCAACGTCTCCAAAATATGTTCATTCCTAACCCCAGACACTACTAAACCACTCATTCACTCCCTTATTATCTCACGACTCGACTACTGCAACTCCCTCCTCACCGGCTTACCTCATCACAGACTATCCCAGCTTCAGTCTATCCTGAACTCTGCGGCCAGACTTATCCACCTTACCAACCGCTCTGTATCCGCCACCCCCCTCTATCATTCCCTCCACTGGCTTCCGATTGCCCAATGCATAAAATTCAAACTTCTAACCATTGACGTACAAAGCTATTCATAATACTGCCCCAAACTACCTCACCGACCTGATATCCAAATACCACCCTACACGTACTCTTCGCTCCTCACAAGACCTCCTACTCTCTAGCTCCCTGGTCCCCTCCTCCCATGCCCGACTCCAGGACTTCTCCAGGTCTTCCTCCATCCTTTGGAACTTACTACCCCAATCCATCAGACTGTCACCTACCCTCCTCACCTTTAGGCACACCCTGAAAACCCATCTCTTCAGGGAAGCCTACCCTGCCCTCACCTAACTGCCGATCTCCTCCGCTCCTCCTACCACTCCATCTCCCACAGCCATTTCCTCCTGTACCACTATCCCCTCCCTCCTAGATTGTAAGCTCCAAGGAGCAGGCCCCTCAAACCCCTCGTGTATTGTATTGTTACTGTATTCTCTCATGTACTGTCTCCCACTATAATGTACAGCACTGAGCAAACTTTTTGGTGCTATATAAATACTGTAATAATAATAATATTTCTCACCTGTCCCCTTCTCGAGAATATATGACTCTAGGGACCCTCTTTGCCCTAAATGCTCCTCGGAACCAGGTACATTTTTTCATATGGTGTGGGCATGCCCACGGGTGCAGGAGTTCTGGAATTGAGTGGTAGAGGATATTAACACGATTGGTAAACTGCGGATCTCTTGTAATCCAATCCAATTGCTGTTAGGGATCTATGACAACATAGAGTCCCCTCAAGCTAAAAGCTCTGTCTTTTACACGGCATTTTATGCTAGGAAGGAGTTCTTACTCCGATGGAAAAAGCCTCATCTCCCGACAACAATGGAAATCTTTGGTTAATGCCACCCTGCCCTTGTATAAACTGATGTACCTGGACCGGAATTGTCCCAATAGGTTCAATAAGAAATGGCAGCTTAGGTGAAGGCAGGACAGCTATCTCTGTAAAAGTTACTGACTACCTGGCTTTTAAAGGGTATTCTCTGCCACCTGTTAATCCGACATGACACCTGCTTCTGGTTTATGAGGCCTTACTCCTTTTCCTCCTTCTCCTTCATATTATCTCCTCCACCTCCTGTCCTCTGTCCCCTGCCCTCCTCCTCCTCTTCCACCCCTTCTCCCTTAATGCTTTTCCCCTTCTTCTTTCTATCCCTTCCCCCTGCCCTCACCCTCTCTATTAATTCTTCCTTTTACTGGATGCACTGTAACCTATACGTGGGTCATTTCTCCTGAGCATATCCCCCACTGCTGAGACAGGGATAGGAACAGAGTTACTGTCCATCTTTTGAATGTGTGAAGAAGGTGCTGGTACATTGTACTGTGTATATCCTGCTGTTTTGTAATGCGAACCTAATACGCCTTGTATTTTGAATCTGCTGTTCTCACTGTCGAAGATGTACCACTGCTATGTGTACTGCTTTATTAAACTTGAATAAAGTTTTTTTTTTTTTTAAATTCTCAAATAGTAATGTTTCGTAGAGCACTCACCCTACATAGAATAAACCCCAAAGGAAGGGGGGAGGATATAGTTCTCTCTACCCCCCCCCCCCCATCCCTACTCCTCCCATCCCCCATTCAAGGGCACGTAACCCAACGCCCCCCCCATACCCTCCCAATATAGCCCACCTCTACCAATTTCCTCAACTTAGAGGATGCACAGAAGGATTTCCACAGGGGCCATACTTCAAAGAATTTTTTATGATCGTTTAACATTGCGGTCAGTTCCTCTAGTATCTGCAAATATTGCATTTCCTCTACCCATCCTACCATTTTAGGGGGGGGGAGGGGTCTGAAGATTTCCAAAATTTTGGTATAACAGCCCTTGTGGCCATTAAAAAAAAAAAACAAAACGTAGGAGACCCTCCTTTCACCTCCTTTGCATAGCCAGGGAGAATTGGGGACATTCTTGTGTGTTTTTACCTACTCTTTTCTTTTTTTCTCTTATACTTCTGTATTGCTCTGTATTACCGTTGTATTTTCCTTTTCTTTGGAAAAAAAAATCAGTAAAAATTATTGAAATAGATTATGAGAAGGGTAAACCTGGAAAGTCAGTTAAAACTGAACTCTGGGGAATTGAAAAGAAATTACCCTTACATAGGACCCCCCCCCCCCACACACACACACACACACACACTGCAAGAGTGAAATTGTTGTTTTTTGCCTAGGTTACCAGTAAAAAGGACCTTTCTTTAACTAATCTTTCACTCCCCCAGCAGCTGACATTCACATCTTCTTCTCTTCAGCAATTTGACTGTGGACGGGCTCTTAACGTCCTCACTTACATAGATGGACTGTTGGTCCTGCATAGTATGTGATGTGTCACAGCTGCAATGACTGGGTGGAGTGCCAAAGAGAAGAGGCTTCGGGGGGACCGGGATAAGGTAAGAAAAAAATGCTTTATAGTGGTACCCTAGGCAAAAAAAGATCATTTAACCCAGGCAGTGTAGGGCGAGCCCCAATGTAAGGGTAGTTTTTCAGTTCCCTGGGCTTCAGCTTTAAAGGTAAAAGCCTTAATATCTGATGTAATATGAAATAGTTTTTCAGTTTCCTGGAGTTCAGCTTTAAAAGTAAAATCCTTAATATCTGATGTAATGTGAAAAAATATATGTGTAACTATTCACTCATTGTTTTTGTATTGTTGCTGATCTTTGTTTTTCAGTTTGATATGGCAGAGGTATTTATGCATCAGGCCATCCACACCATAGAATATTGCCTGGGATGTATTTCCAACACAGCTTCCTACCTACGACTATGGGCTTTAAGCTTAGCACATGCCCGTGAGTATCTAATTCTTTTCTTGGGGGAGATTTAAGAAATCGGAAATTCACATAATGCGAAAGGACATAAGCCATAATTTAGTTTCAGTGTAAATCTTGTTGCCTTCATATTTGAAACATTTCTTTTGTATTTGTTTAGATTTGATTCATGTTGTCCTAAACTTTAAATAGAACATAGTAAAAACAATTTACTTTTAGCTATACGTTTGTAATTGTTATCCTGCATAGCCTAGTTAGAGGCTTAAAATATTTTATTTGAAGCTCTAACATTGATACGGATTATCAGGAATATGTACTTCAGATTGTTGGAGTGGCCCCGGTCTACATTGCAGTAGTTGCTGCCATCATCACACATGTCACCCATTAGACAAATGCATTAGAATTGTATTATTAGTCATGTCATCTTGTATAGGAAATTACACTTATGATCATGCATATTTTTTTTTTAATGCACATATCTGATCATTTTTTAAACCAATGAAAGACATTAATTCTTGGTAGCTGAGTCACTTAAAACTGGATAAAAAAATAGCACAAAAGTACATTTTCTAATCGAACACATGGTCCTTAGTCCTTATAACTGGTTTATTTGCAGCTACCTTCAGGTGATTGGACACTAGTGATTGCTAGTGTCCTTAGGTGATGGACCCTGTCTCTCCATTGAGACAAGTCCACCTTTTTCAATTTGAATGATGGAATTCCACCTGGATGATTGTTGTATAAAGATTCCTGCTGCACCATAGCCCATTGCATCTAGTGCAGCTTCTGGATTGTCTCCTCAGCAGAGCCTTGTGGGTCTGAACCTGGACACAGCCAAACGCAAGGTGCCGGGTCAGTCTGTAACATTGCCTTTATGCACTGGAACTTGGCACTCCCCTTGTCACATAGTGCAGTGTGTGGAGTTAGCCACAGGCTGCTTTTGGGATCCAGGGCCATGTTCCTGCCTGCAATAGAGCCCTGTTCCTGAAGACCCTTGAGGAAGATATGCTCATTGTAGTAGACAAATTCAAGAACGGGTATATCTCTTTTTAGTGCTGCCCACTGAATCTCTTTTGGGGAGTACATGGCAGAAGCCCTTTAAACATACTGTCCAGGGTGACTTCATTCTCTAGTCCCCTTCCAAGATGTGTGGGAGCTGCCAGTCATCCTTCCAGTGCTAATACCGGGGAGACAGGAGTACTGGGGTTAATTTTACTTTCTCCTATCACCTTCCAGGATGGCACACCTGAGAGATGAGGGGTTCCTCCCTACAGGAAACACAATCAATTTACAGCTGTTATAAGTCCCTTCCCTTCACCTTGCTCTCCAGTATTGATTGTGTTTCTTCCTACATCGGAACGTTTGTTGTTTTCTGTTATCAGAAGACCAGAGAGGGTCGCATAGTAACCCTGTGAGGCAAGCAAAGGGATGCCCGGGAGGGCTGAACTAACCTGCAGGCTTGTTCCTTCTCACAGGTCGCCACTTGGCACCAGCGCTCCGGTAACAGGGTAGTGTGAACCGTGCTGTAGTGTGCAAAAATGCTGCCCGGCTGCTGTCACCTTTTTTTCCCCACATGGTCTTCAGTACCCACCAACTTGCAGAGGAACTGGAAGAGGAGGCATGCACGCCAAACCCCACTAGGCTAGGAACACTGCATGAGGGCTGAGAGACGCCAGAGGATGCCGGGGAGTGAGGACAGTAGGTCGACTGAGAGTGGTCAGCAGATCATCCTAGGATGGCACACATGGCTTTTGCAGCGGAGACCGGGCGAACCACCTCATGGAGAAGGAGGAAGGGATTGCAGCACTGGTGACTGCGGGCAAGTCCAAGTCAGGACTCAGTGAGTGCCTTTCTTGAGGGGGAGTGCTAGGAGGAGAGAGGGGGCCCAGATGGACCATGTCTGGTCAGCCTTGTCAGACTGGGTGGGTACCCCAATCCCCCCCTCCCCTAATTAACTATATGTTAAAGCCTGGCAGCCGGAGGCGAATAGGATTATTTCAGAATCCCTGAGCGGAACCCAGGAAGCCCCTGATAGACCTCCTTCTGTACCCGTGGGTTCTAGCTCCTCTAGGAAATGTGGATATAGTGGGGAGAAGCTAGCCAGCTCCTATCCTAAACCATTTTGCTATAGATGCATTAACAAGCTGGCATGGAAAGAGGCTTTAGGCTTAGTGAATGATTTCCTAGCATTTGTGCAAGTGGAGATGGTAGCCACCATCCAGTCTTTTCGAACCTCTGTGGCACAGCCGCAGGGCCATCCCCAGAGGAGTTAACCCCTAAAGAAGGCCCATCCTCACAGGAAAGCCTTAATTCCAGAGGGGGCCCAAGTTTATTCCTCCCGTCTTCCCAGATGCTTCCTCCAGCCCAGGCCAGGCCAGGGATGGAGAGGAGAGTAAGGGAAAGCTGGATAGTCAGCCTAAATCAGACCACAGCTCAGGGGATGAGGTGGATCTAGATCTGGATAGTAAGGCAGGTGAGGAGGCAGGCACCTCTTTCTGCTGGAAGACCTGGGAGGGCTTCTTCAGGCTGTTTACGCCACCAAAGAAATCCCAGAAACCCCCAGAGAGAACTCGGTACAGGACAAAATGTATAGGGGCCTAGTTAAGGCCCATGCTAGGGTGCTCCTCTTCCACCAATCCTTAAAGGATTTAATCCTACAGGAATGAAAGGATCCTGAAAGAAGAATGGTCAGACCCAAGACTTGGAAAAGAAGGTTCTTCTTTAAAGAGGAGGAGAAAGATCGATAGATTCTTTAAGCTTCCCAGGTTGGATGCTGCGATGTTGCAAGTTACCAAGAGGTCTGATCTCTTTGAGGATTCAGGGAACATTAAGCATTTGATGGACCGAAGGTCTGAATCCCTCCTAAGGAAGGCATGGGATGCTAACACATCTGCCAGTGCCCCAGCGCTGGCAGCAACCTGCATTGCCAAAAATACAGACTTTTGAATGGAAAGACTGACCAAAACACCTGTCGCAGGGGGCTGCAAAGTCAAATGAAGTGCTAGATTCCCTCTCAGTGATAGGGAAGGCAGTAGCCTACCTGGTGGATGCTGCAGTCGAAGCCATTAAAGTCTCAGCCAAAACAGCCACACATTAATTCAGCCAGAAGGGCTATCTGGGTTAAAGCATGGGAAGGTGACTTCACTTCGAAAGGTAAACCTATGTGGTCTTACCTTTGAAGGCTCCCTGCTGTTCGGCCCAGGGTTAGACATGAAGAAAGAATCCCTAGACAAAAAGCTGGTCCTCACTCCACAGGTAAAATTCTCACTAGAATGGTGGGTGGGACCCCCTAAAAGTCAAAGATGCAAGCTCCCGGGGGTAGGGTGTTCACACCTGGGGGAAGCCAAGGTCCTTTGAACAGGGCGATTTCCCAGTCTTCATCCAAATCCAGGTGCAATAATGCTTTTTTAACATAGGAAATCAAAAAACGCCAGTATATACACTCACATTTATGCAGTATTAGTTAGGCATTCCACCACATATTCTGGGTGTATTCACATGTATCCTGGGTGTACCAAGATGGTTGTAGCAACAAAATGGCCGCAGGTGATCCGCTGATTGGCTAATTGGTATCCAAGTAGCATATATAAAGAGAACAGCAGCCACCAATAGTGTTATCCTGAAGAAGTCACGTGGGATATGTGACGCAACGCGTCATTACGGCAGCAGCCATCTTGGTACACCCAGGATACATGTGAGTACACCCAGGATATGTGGTGGAATGCCTAACTAATACTGCATAAATGTGAGTGTATATACTGGCGTTTTGTGATTCCCTATATTAAAGCGTTATTGCACTATGGAAGTATTTCTCTCTTCTCTTATGAGCCACGCATGATCTTATTGAGAGCTGTGCAAAGTCTTACTGAGTAAGTGGAGACAGTAAGGCCATCTGCCTACCAATCCAGGAAGGGGATTACTCATAAGGTATATGTGGAACCCTGTGTGTGGAGGTTGGCTATTTGAGGAGATCTATAACTTAGGATCCTGGTGGTTCACTTAATGGAGGTGAGCGGGCATTTTAGCCGTTTTTAGGATTTGTTTGGAGTGCACGCCACACGGCACCAGTTCCTTAAAAGTAGTGCAGCACTTTTTGTGTGGAGGATTCCTACAGCACTTTATTGGACTTGATTGGACATTTGCTGCTTTATTGTATGTGATCTTTTGATCTGTCCACAGCATTTGATTTTTTACACTGCATATATTTATTATTGTCTCACTGCACATATATATTGCTTTTGAATATTTTTTAGATTATTTTGTCACTGTGTGTATTGTGAATAAGCACTGGTCACTTTATTATCCCATTATTGGGATTCACTTTGTTGGCACAATTGGTGTGTGTATTATCCCAATTTCTGGGATTGGGGGTGTTTGTTTTTTTTTCACTTTATATAGGGTCTGTATTTGTTACCCATTGGATTTATTCACTCAGTTGCACTTTATATTTTGCACTTTATTTTAGATCCTTTAGGATCTTTTCTAGTTGCACTAATATTGTATTATTATTCAATATTGTTTTAGTATTTTAGCACTGCACCATATGTACAATATTCATGGTATGCAATCTTTTAAGGTAAAGGGTTTGGGTGCTAGCAGCTGTGTCAGGCAGAGTTCATTTAGCGCAGGAGGAACCACTACACTTTCAGACCTTGGTTCAACGGTTCGGCAACCCAGAAATAGACCTTTTTGTCCATGGCAGGAACAGGAAGGTAAGGAGATTTTTCTTGATATCCCGAGAGAGTCAGTCGGAGGGCCTTGACGCAGATCTGGCAGTTCAGGCTCACCCCCCCTTTGACGTTGATTCCGAAGCTCAGCCAGTTGTCGGCCACCTCATCCTGATTGCACCTTGGTGGCCAAGGAGCACATGGTTCGTGACCCTAAAAGTCCTCTCAGTGGCACCTCCTTGGAGGCTTCTGATCTGCCGGATCATATTCTTTAGGACCTGGTGCTTCACCCCAAGCTGTAATTCTTTCAATTGACAGACTGGCTAGTGAGCGGCAGATCCTAAAGAGTAAAAG